AAATCGTCAATCTGTGGGAAGAAGTTGGTGATAGAAAATTGTTTAGTCCAGATCTTATGGAGGAGACTACAACAAAAATAGTTAAGATTAGGAAGAACATCCAGACAAGTCAGAGCAGGCAGAAGAGTTATGTGGGTACCCAGAGGAGGAATTTAGAATTTAAGAAAGGTGATCGGGTGTTCTTTAAGGTCATTCCTTTCAAGGAAATCAGTAGGTTTGGTAAGAATGGAAAACTAAATCCTCAATTTATTGGACTATTTAAAATCTTAAACAGAATTGGCACCGCCGCCTACAGACTGACACTACCTCCAGAACTATCCATGATCTATAACGTGTTTCATGTGTCTAGGCTACGCAAGTATAACCCGGATCCCTTTCACGTTTTAGCTCACGAGCCCCTTTCACTCCAAGAGGATCTGTCATGCTAGAAGGTACTGGTCGGTATTGTGGACCAAAAGGGCAGAGTACTCCATAACAAAAAAATATCCTTTGTTAAGGTCCGGAATTATAAAAAATTTCCTTTTTTTAAGGGAGGGAGAGTTATAATACCCAGAATTAATTTCAACTTTAAAATTAATATATAGAAATATAAATACAATTTTATTTAATGTAAAATTATGGAAAAAAATTAGGTGGATGATGAAATTAAAAATAATTTTGAGAAAAATGAGTGAAATTTTGGGTTCAGATGGTGTTTTTTAAATCAAAAATTGGGGAATCAAAACGCAATTTAAGAAAAATATACCACGTAGGACCACCCAGTCAGCAGCCCCGATGAACTGGAGCATACTGCATGGCAAGGCATGCTGATTTGGTGTCACACGGGAGGCCACACTGGCAATCTGCATGCCCGTGATCAAACGGTTCAGATTTATTTCTGTGCGCGTGGACGACCTAGATTCATTCTCTCTTTAAATACGATCATATGGTCCGGATTAAATCACGATGAATGGTTCAGATTCATTTCCTTTTTAAACGCGATCGAACGGTTGAGATCAAATGCAATGAACAGCCTAGATTAAAGGGAGACGAGTATAAATATCCCACTCCACACTGAACCTTAACCCTAGCCGTCAGCCCCCCGCCAGAAAAGAAGAACCAGTTGCTGGAGAAGGGAGCCGAAAGCCGCTCACCACTGTGCATTTCAATCATCAGACAACAAATTTTCCTCTTTTATCAGCCTACTACTATCCATAGGGGTCTCCACTACACGTGAACTATTCTCATTGATAACTTGATTCAGGTCCGTCCCCATACCCCGTCCGATATGGGCACCAAAAAACATAAACCTCAATACCCCGTCCGGTATGAGGGTGAAATGGGCCGTCCCCATACTCCGTCCGATATGGACGCCAAAACACATAAGGTCTACATACCCCATTCGATATGAGAGACCATGTTCCCGGTAGGGTTCCCTACGGACCCGGTCCATCCACCATCTCCCAGGATATCTAGTTAGCCTGTCGACATCATCCATTTATCAATTCACATACATTTTTCTATTTTTCTTGGTCCCAATTATCCAATCAAATATAAACACGTAAACCAGTAATGAACACCAAACAAGACAACAATGGGTTCACAATTATTCAAACCATAATAAACGAAACCGTGATTCATGCATACGAAACTATAAAATAAACACATCAGATACCATACTGCAATTAAAACTATAAAATAGATCAAACAATAACTGACCGAAAAATACATCAAGTTCGGGCTCCATTAGCAACTTTAATTAATTATATACAATTCATAAAATACCATTTTATCATTTATTGAGCTTTAATACCGTGATAGAAAATAGGGTGAGAAATCCTTACTTGTTTTGGAGTCTGAAATCAGTTTTACACTGCGCTTTTTGGCAGTCCCTAGATTCCCTAAATTTTTTTCCGGGAACTGAAACACACTTCTGGTACCTACACATATCCCAAAAAAACTCAAAATCAGACCCAGGGCCTACTCGGCCAATTTTGAAATTCTGGCACGGCGGCTTCGCTGTGCTCCGGTGACGGCACCGCCGTCCGCGGCGATGATCCGCCTTGGGTTGGCCATTTTCGGCCGAATTGGGCCAAACTTGCATTGGTTCCTACGATAAAACAACCCTAGGGCCCTCAGTGGGCCAAAAAATCACGAAAAACTGAGACTCACCGGCGGCAAAGCTCTCGGGTGCGACGGCTTCTCCGACGCGAGTCGCGATTTGATGTTTTGCTCCGGTCAACCTGTAGAGAAAAGGACGGTGATCACAGTGGTGTAAAAATTGCATCGAACGGGAACCGGGAAGGGCCTCATCAGAGGCAAAAACTGAGGGAAGCCGCGGCAGTGCCACTGGACTTCGGCGATATTTTTCGGTTAATTGGCTGGTGGTTTGGCTCCGATTTGGCCATAGGCGGATTCAGCATCGAAAAATGAGCCAAGGGGAGAAAATTTACCTCGTTTGGCGATCGAAAAATCCTCCGGTGCGGCGGCGGGTGGCGGCGGCTGGCTCCTCCGTTGACTGGATCTTCTTCTCCGACGAGGGTACTGGCGGCTAGGGTTTGGGGTTGGGTATGGGTGAAGTTATTTATAACCTTCCCCTTTTAATCTCAGTCGTCCATCACGATTTAATCTGCACCGTCCGATCGCGATTAAAATGAGAATAAATCTGGGCCGTCCATCGCGATGCGATCTGGGCCGTCCGTGCGCGATTCAATTTGGGCTGTCCGCACGCGTGAGATCTGGGCCATCCGCACGCGTGAGATCTGGACCGTTCGATCGCGTGCACGCGGATCGCCCACATGGCTTCGTCCCGCGTGGCCTCCCACGTCAGCGTCCTTGCCACGCGGCATGTCCTGGTTGGTCGGACTGCTGACATGGTACAACTTTTTTAAATTGTGTTTTGACCCTCGGTTTTTTATTTTCTTTTCAAAAATATCTCCAAAATCTAAATTTTCACCATTTTTTCCCAAAATCATTTTCAATTAAATCCAAAAAATAATTTTAACCATTTTTATCATTATTATTATTTTTATTTCAATTAAATTAAATTAAATTAAATTACACCCTTATGAATAAATTATAAAAGTTCAATAAAAATAATAAATAAGGGTTTGGGTCTTACATAATTGACAATGTTGAATAAAAGTTCATGCGTAGTGGAAACATCTCTATAGACCCCCATGGATACCAGTAGGCAGATAAAAATGAAAAGTTGTTGTTTTGGTTAATTGAATATGAGATTATGATATTGTTTGTATTATTACCTCTATAGGTCAGTTTTGAAAATCTCGCTACGGTAAGTGTACAATAAATAATTTTATTTATGATAAATGAATTTACTTAAATTAAGAGTTCAATTAGTTGTTTTCATAATTTTTACCAACATTCATTTCTGTATCGGTGAGTAGTGTGACATTCTTATTATATTAGTGTAGTTCACTCTTTTATTAACCATTTCAGTTTAGGAGGACCAAGATTCAGATCTCGATCCACAAGAGGGTTACGAATAAGATGTCCAGTTGTTTACTTTTCATTTATTTCTTTGATTTTTCGTTGTTTACTTTAAAAGAGTCATTCCCGTGGTTCTATTGGGTATTCTAAATTATTGTGTAAGAAATGTAAACTCTAACTTTATTATTTCACTTCCGCATTGAATTTATAATTCTATTTTCTTTTAAGTTCTTGGTCGTTACATATCTTCAGTTAACATAGATCAAGCAATTTTTGTTATAAAAATACAAAATTTTAGAAAAAGATTTAGAATCAATTTTTTAAATACATATATTTAAGGCTTAACATCAAAAACTAAATATATATATATATATATATTTGACTCATTATGATAAAGTAGTTTACAAAATGTTTAGTTCTTATATTGGACACCTCATTTACTAGAAGTGCTTCAAGAGCAACCATGATAAGTTCTAATCAGAAGCCAAAGTATGATTAATAATTATTCTACTTGATGTAAGAATAAAATCACTGATTTTCTGAATAAATTTTGATGCTTCATTGCTTGTACTAGTTTATTTAAATACAAAAAAATCTAACTACTCTGTTCTTAAACTCCTTTTCTGACTTTTCATAATTCTATTTCATGAGATAAAAAAACCAAAACCTATCTAAACCTAACAAAATAAGAGAAACCATTTCTAGCCAGAGTAGACATAATCTTTAATTTTTTGTTAATAATTATAAAATAATATTTAATTTTATCCAATTCTAGCAAGCAGTTTGAGTTTAATTGGATTTTTGGTCCGGAAAAAACATGCATGTAATTAAATATTTAATTTAAAAGTTCAAAAATTATTTTTCGCTTCTTTTCCACGATATAACAAAAACAGAAAAAAGGAAATTTCTGGTTCTTCTGCGTCAAACAAGTCCTGCCCAACGGGGTGCTTCATTTGCAACTCGACGTGAATCGCGCGACTAAAAGCTAGTCAGCGGGATCAAAGCAGCCTGATTACTGATTCGCCAGAAAAGCCAGGTGCTATACTGAATTTGGCCTGAATTTCTTTTTTCTGTCTGCTTGATAATTGAGATTCGATATAGAACCCTAACCTTGCGGATGAGGAAGAATAAAAAATTCGTACCTTGCCATCCAAGTCGGAATTCGAAGAGAATTCTGGCAAGGGCTTTAATTTTATAATGTGATTCCAAATCACGTTGTTGGTTGATAGTAGGAATCTAATTTTCTGGAGGAATTAGAAAGCAAATGGTTGGGATTGATTCTGACGATGGAAGTCGACGGCGCCTACCGTCGTGGATGCTGGGCGTTTCTTCTAAGGATGAAGCAATAAAACAACGTGAGAGAAGTGAAAATATCGAAAAAGTAGTGAAACCGAACACTCAGCCGAAAGATACGAAATCTCTGGTTTTTTTAAAATGTGAATCGAAGGAGCGAAAAAGAAAACGGAAGCAGCTAAAACCCAAGGATGATGCTTCAGATGGCGAAAGAATCAATAGTTGTTCAAATGGTAATGAATCGAAAATTCCATCTCCTCTTGATGACGCTCAGGATCTTACTGTGGAAGATCTGATAGCAATTGCGGAAGAGGTAGAATTTCCGTCCTCAAAACAAAACGTATATATTTTCTCAATCTGTTTATACATGTAGTCCCTTTGCAGTGATGGGTGTAAAAATACTTATGTTCTAAAGTCATATATGTTCATTCATATATGTTTATTGATGAGATTATGTAGAAGTTGCATATTTGATTTTCTTTTTGTAAAAAATACTAAATTAGAACTTTCTACTTCCATTTAGAGAACATTTTCATTGTACCAGAGAGGCCCTGAGTGTTCAATTTTGTAATCTAAATTAAAAATTAAATGCCCTTGCATTATACATCTCAAGTTGTTTTATTTATTTGCAGTATGTTAGGGGTGATAAAGATTAGGGAAATATAGAAATTACCTCATGTTATATGTTTTTGTAAATAAAATGTTCGTACATCGAAAGAACATTTTCATTCTATTGGGAGCCTGAGTGTTCAATCTTGTTATCTAAATTAAAAATTAAATACCCTTGCATTATATATATTTGCAGTATGTTAGAGGTGATAACAGTATGAGAATACAGCAATTATCAAGCAAAGAATCTGAATTGATCAGGGAATCTACTGCCCCAGGAAATCAATTGGGAGATTCTAATATCCTTGCTTTGGGTTCATCTGATCGTGAAAGAACTTTTGATTCTGCTTTGAGTTTGACCAGCGAACAAAAAGTTCCGGCTGCCAGTGGAATGGGGGATCCTACCCAAGACATGTTGGATCTGTTTCTAGGTCCCTTGCTGAAGAAACCTGTACAGGAGAAGAGGACTGAATTTATTAAAAACGATATGGAGATAGACTTTGAATTTAGGAAATCAAGACAGGATGATGTTGGGGAAGAAATTGTTCCATTGCAAAAGAAGAAGAGCAGTCTCAGAGAGAAGGTGTCACTGTTGCTTGACTAAGAATCTTTTCATATGCTAAGCTTAGCCCATACTGTGAAGTTAAAAGTATAGATAATAGTTGTGGTTTGCTTCGTACAAGAGTGTTTGATAATTGATTAGTTATAATCCTAAAAGCATCCTTGCTGCAGCTTATAATCCTTGTACTTTTTTTGTTTCTATTCAAGTAGCTGTGTAGTTAATCAATAGATTTATACACGCAATTAGTTCATCTGAGCCAGTGGTGTAGATATGTGTTCAAATAGACTTTTATCTGCAGTAAATTTATAGATCTTTTGTTGTGAAGGAAGAAATATTATTGGAGAGGGAAAAAATGTTGTTACAAGTGATGGTGAGAGGATTAGATATCTTTTAGGAAAAGAACAAAAGGACAGACTAAACATCAGGCAAAATAGGTTCTCATTCATTTTGCAACAAAGACAAAGTATGCCTGAAAGAAACTATCTCAAACTGCAGATGCTGTTTAATGCTTAAAAAATCGTAGCTCATGCCGAATTATTCCAGAAAGAAACAAGTCAATTTTTGATTGGAAAAAAAGGGAAACAAGTAGATTTTACTCACAGAATAATAAGAACACATCAAACAGATCTTCAAGAGAGAGAGCTTTACAAGGCCTGTTGTAAAAAAAATTAAAGGCGAATTTGACATTAATTTACCAAATACAATAAATTAGAAGACTATTACTTCTGTTGTAGAGAAACATTAATTTATCAAACACGATAAATTGAAAGTAGTTTCAGCAAAAGTGAAGCTAAAATATTTTGAGAATCTGCTTCTGTCCTTAAAGAAAAACCAACACTTGTTTATAAAATTTATCTTTATTTACAGTATTTAATTACACAATAGCTATGCCTCTTCTTTCTTCTTATATCCGCATTCAGGAGAAGTCCTAAATAAATATTAACACTTCAAGTAATAATAATTCTACAACAACCTGGATTTGTAAGCCTTGAAACTGACACAGGTTTACATATTATATAAAATAGTTTTATATTTACAAGGTTAAAAAATTAAGAGAAGAACAAAAAAAAAAAATCATTTGTTTTTTTGTAATTAATTTATTATAACCAAAATTGAAAAAATATTTTTTTAAAAAAAAAAAAGAACAATGTTTTCATGAATAAATAATTTGGACACACTTAAAAAGCCTCCTAAGAAATTAAGGGTTCAAGTCACCTAATAAGAAAAACAATTATCAACTTATAAAATCAGAAAAATTAACTACTCATATTCAACATCCTTAGCTCGTCGACAGAGAGGACAAATATTCTTGTTTTTCAACCACTGCATTACACACCACTCGTGGAAACTATGTTGGCAAGCCATCTCAGTCACCTTCTTTCCCCCCAACTTCATCTCTTCTAAACAGATCGAACAGTTCCCCGTTTCATCTTCATCTTCATCATCATCTTCATCTTTACCTTTATCTTTATCTTCCAAGCTATTCAACCATCCATAAATCTTTTTA